CACGAGGCCCGGCCCGAGGAGCTCCGTGGAGCCGGCCCCAGTGGCGCCGCCGTCGACGCTGCAGCTCGTGCCAGGCAGGAGGACAGTCCCGAGCAGCCGCCCCGCGACGTCCGGACCGCGACGCCCCCGTGCCGGGTATCGCAGGACGGGCCGAGTTCGGCGCTGCCGGCGAGCGGCCCGGCGTGTTCTCAGGTGCAGGGAGCCGTGATGAGGCCTGCGGGAGAGAGCCGGGTCGCAGCAGGACGGAGAGATGGCGGTTCTCCCGCAGCACAGTTGAATTATCCTTCCGATGTGAAGGAAAGCTCCTCCGGTTGTCCTAATCTTCTGCTGGAATCCTCATCAGATGGTAAAAAGTGCCGTGAGCCAAAAATGATACCTAGATTTAGATTTAATGGCTCTGAAACGTTTATGGAAAAATGTGTCGCTGACAGTGATAACTCGAAAGCAGTGACTGCTGGAGCGGAGAAAGCGGTTCCTGCGCTGCACAACCTTGCACACCTGCAGGCAGAGAGGGAGCCTGACAGCAAACCAAATAACGAAAAGCAGAACACAGGGGTGCTGGTGAAGCCCTTTTCACGTGATGATTTCACTTCTCCAGATAGGATAGATGCTTGTGAAAAAGTCCCGCAGCTGAGGGAGATGGGACCCGGAACAGAACCAGAACCTGCGTGTCAGCCCCCGAGAGAGGCTCGAGAGTTCACGGCAAGTGGAGATGATGAAGTTCAGAGCACACACAGTGAAACAACAGACACTGCGTCGGATTTTGAAGCTGATGTAGCTGAGGAGAGTGTAGAGATGGATTTGTGTTACAGAGGTGTCAGTTCAAGGGAGGCAGCTGGGAAAGATTCCTCCTGCCAGAGCAGTGCTAGGAGATGCGGCAGAATTCGATCCCAGCCGTCCGTGCAGACAGAGGCTCCCGGCCACGTGGATTTCGCCTCCACCGCGGGGATGAGCAGCCCGTCCCTGTCCCCGGGCTGGGGACCGCGCGCGGGCGCTGCCGAGCCCGGCCGCCCGCTGGTGGTGCAGCTGCTCGGGGGGGATCTTCCCCTGGAGGAAGTTCTCCCAGGATCTCAGCCCGGCATCACGCTGGGAATCACGGAGTCCTCTCCGGAGAAGCAGTCGGAGAGCCCCCCCGTGCAAACAGAGAGAGGTGCCAGTGGCTATTTCAGCAACGAGTCCTCTCGGGATGCAGAAATAAAGGCAGGTGCCCTAAGCAGGAGCGAAGACCTGCGCTCTGGGAGACCCCAGGAAAAGCCGTGTGGATCAGCAGCAGCGCTGCCCAGAGCAGAAGGGATGGAGGATCCATCTATTCCAGAAAAGCATTCCAAAGTTGGCTCAGCTTTAATCTGTCAAGATCAACGGGCAGTTGTGGCAAGTGCCTCTCAGAAGCCTGAAGACGTGGGCCTTAGGGAACGAGCACTTTCCTGCAGCTTGGAAGAGCAAAAGGAGTTGACCAAGGCCCATCGGGTGCTGGAGCACAACCCGTTAACAAGTGTCATCACCGGTAAAAGCCCAGAGAAGGTAAATCCATCTTTAGGGCCCAGGTTTTTATCTCCAAATACAACTTCTTTTGGACCAAATCAGATAGGAGGGACCTCAGTCAGTAAAAGTTATCCTGGAGTTCAAGGCAAAAAGCTTTTTGGTTCTGGCTTTCCCTGCAACCCCAGTGTTAGACTGCATCACTCAAGGGCTTCGGATCAAGTTTCAACCATGGGAACCTCGTCCCCCGGCAAACAGATTCCTCTGAGCAAGAGCTGTGCATCTGGAGAGGGGATGGCAGCTGTAAGGGAGGGATGGACTTCAAAGCAGCACACGCACACCCTGGGAGAAATAAAAAATGAGAATGTGTTGGCGTGTGGCGGCCCAGCCAAGAATAACGCGGAGAACCGGAAGGATGCGGCACAGAGCCCCGCGGAGCTGCGGGAGCATCCGCAGGGCGTTCCCCTGGTCATGGACTTGCCGTTTTTCAAGTTTTCAAGAGAACAGGGAAAGGGGCACAGTCATCCTTTGGAGCCTTCTTCCATACCCTCCCAGCTCAATATCCAGCAGGCGTTTTATGGGAAGCTTTCGAAGCTGCAACTTAATTCCACCAGCTTTAATTATTCATCCAACGCTCCAGCTTTTCCCAGAAGTCTCGCTGGAAGCATGATGCAGCTGACCCACAAAGCGAACTTTGCTGCAAACCACAATACATCCCTCTCTGTGCAGATGTTTGCAGATAGCAGCAGCGTTGAAGAAATATCATTCAAGTGTTCGTGCAGCCTTAAAGCCATGATCATGTGTAAGGGCTGCGGGGCGTTCTGCCACGATGACTGTATAGGGCCCTCGAAGCTTTGTGTATTGTGCCTTGTGGTGAGATGATAAATTATGGCCATGGGACAGACTGTATATTCAGTGTGTGTATTTTGATAACGACTGTTCCTAAAACCTGTACACAGAATACTCTGTTTATAGTAGACATGCTATTACACTTGTTTGGGTGAGGAAAGCTGACTTGGCTTCCCCCTGAGATTGCAGCGCAGAGCCCTGTCCCGCTCCCAGGCGCGCTTGGAGCTGGGGGTTACGGAGCGATCCCGGAGCCGCCGCTCCGCTCTGCTCCGCGTGGGAGGCCGCTCGCTGCAGCCCTCCCGCGCCCTCCGCGGAGGAGACCTTCGCATCCAAAGACCTGGACCAGGGTGTTCCGTAAGGGCTGCGTTGGGCCCTGCAGTCTTCCACCCTCTCGGCACCTGCTGGCCCCGCGCGGCGGCCCTACGCCGAGGACCTCGATGTGGCAGCAGCCGCCCGCGCGGGCGTCGAGCTGTTCATCTGTGTGACGATCACCTAACATTTAAGGCAGTGTTCTTTCCTTTTCTAATTTTTTTTTAATCTTTTCATTCTTGGATGTATAAAGTGAATTATTTGGCTCCTGTAAGTATCCTCTATGCATCTGTTTGATCATGTATTTATATGTTGTACACAGTACTGGCCAACTCTGTAAATGGATGTAATGTACATAGAACACGAAGGGTTCTTTTTTCTTTTTTTTTTTCTTTTTTCCCTTGGTTTTCAGCCTCTCCAGCAGTATTGCATTAAAGTGGTGTTAGTTATTAATCCGCATCCGTGCCCCGCGCCGCTGTGTTGGTGTCGCCGGCGCCGCCGCCCTTCCCTCCTCCCTGGGCTCTCCCGGGTGCCGTCACGGGATGTCCCCGCGCGGCCGGCAGGGACCGAGCGCAGAGCCCCGGGCAGGAGCCGCCGCCTGTCCCGTCCCCCCTGGCCTCGTCCCCTCTTCCTCCTCCCTCACCCCCGCGCTTCCCAAATCACAACCTCCCTCTCCAGAGGCACCCGAGGGCTGCGGAGAAACGTGGTCCGAGAGGGTCGATCCTTCCTGCGCCCGAGAGCTGGAGGGCGGCGCCGGAGCCGCGGGAGGAGCTGAGC